TTTATTTTTATTTATTTTTATTATTAGTATTTCTTCTGTGTATTTCATTTTTATTTCAAATTTGGTAAGGAATTCGGACCTCATGCTCAGATAAATCTTGTTTAATGTATTTTTTTCCATAACAATCTGAAAAAAAGATATGTTATGGAGAAAAATAAATAAAACAAGATTTGCCTGAGCATTACATCCGAATTCCTTACCAAATTGGAAATAAAAATAAAATACGGAAATAAAATACTAATAATAAAAATAAATAAAAAGAAAAAGAGAATTATATTTAGTGAGTGCGCGAGCATGTTTTCGACACCGCCATCTTTGGCGATTTTTTTTTTTTTTTTGGCATAGCTAAATGCCGTAAACATTTACAGATGTGTACTTCACATAATACAAAACCCACTAAAAAAGTTTCAAAAAACTAATAAAATTGTTTAGACTCCGAACTAAAGTGAAAACAAAAAGTAAAATGTGAAAAAATATGTGGGTGAGCACGTTTTGACACCACCATCTTTGGCGATTTTTAATTCTTATTTGGCTTAGCCAAATAACTTGAAAATTTAGAAGCATGTACCGCACATCATAGGGAACTCACCAAAACAAATTCAGAAAAAAAAAATTATTTGTAAGCCCTGAAATTATTTTTGGCGGGGGCCAAACGCCGTCAGGTTCGGCCCCCGTACGGGACCCCGAACGCCCGTACGTACGGGCTGGTGACCCTGTATATATATATATATACTGAGTTGCCAGGCCGAACGTGCGGAGGCCCCTAAGCTAAGCCCCGGATGTTCGGGCGCTCGGGTCCCCGTACGGGGCCCGAACTCGAAGGGGTTCGGACGCCGCAAAAAATTATTTCGGTACCTAAAACTTATTATTATTTTCTGATTTTTTTTTTGTAAGTTCTCTGTTATGTAAGCTACCTGTCTCTCAATTTTGAAGTCATTCTGTGGAGCCAAAAAAAATAATGAAAAATCGGGAAAGATGGTGGTGTCAAAACATGTTTTCCCACTTACTAATTTGTTTTTTTTTTTCTTTTCACTTTTTTTTTTCCCTTTATTTTGGGGCCTGAAAAAAAATATTATTTTTTCAAACTTTATTTATAGGTTCTCTATGATGTAAGATACAGATAATTTCATGGCATTTGACAAAGCCAAAAAAAAATAAAAAATCGCCAAAGATGGCGGTGTTAAAAACTTGCTCGCCCACGCAATAATTTCATTCTCGTTTTATTTTTTCTTATTTWCATTAATATTATTTATTTKTCGKATTTGATTTTTATTTCAAATYTGGTWMGRAATTTKGATGTACTRYTRAGGCAAATKTTGTTTAGTTTATTTTTCTGCATGACATAGGTTTTTTTCACAATTTTTGGAAACTTTTTTTTTTTTTTTTTTTTGGTTCCGCATTCGGCCGAACGCTCGAACCCGAACSCCCAAACGWACAGGACCCCTTCGAAAGGGGTTCAGCCGTTCGGGTTGAATGCGGAAAAAAAAAAAAAAAAAAAAAAAAAAAAAAAAAGTTTTCAAACAATTCCGAAAAAAAAAAATGTTACGGAGAAAAATAAACAAAACAACATTTGCCTAGGCACTACATCCAAATTCTTTACCACATTTGAATTAAAAATCAAATACAGAAAATAAACGCTATGATAAAAATATAAAAAAATAAAAAGAGAATTAAAATGATTGAGTGCGGCAGCACATTTTCGACACTTCCATCTTTGTCGATTCTTAATTATTTTCTGGCATTAATAAACGCCCTGAAAATTTACAGATATGTAGTTTACATAATCAATAACTCATTATTTTTTTTTTTTTTAAATGATAATTTTTTTTAGGCCCCAAAATAAAGTAAAAACAAAAAATTAAAAGTGAAAAAAGAAATATGAGCGGGCGAGCACGTTTTGACACCCCCATCTTTGACGATTTTTAATATTTTTTTGGCTTAGCAGAATGACTTAAAAATTTATAGGCGTGTAGGTTACATCATAGAGAACTCATAAAAACAAATTGAGAAAAAGAAACTTATTTTTAGGCCCCGGAAATTGTTTTGGCGGGAGCTGAACCTGAAGGTGTTCGGCCCCCGAACGAGACCCCGAACGCCCGAACGTTCGGGGGCCAGCTCAGGGGCCTTCGAACGTTCGGTCAGCTAACCCTGGATGTATATATATACGGGCCGAATGCTCGAACGTATGGGACCCCTTGGGGATGTGTTCGGTCGTTCGGGCCGGACGTGGAAAAAAAAAAATAAAATAATAATAATAAAACAATCTGGAAAAACAAATGTTATGAAAAAAAATAAACTAAACAAGATTTGCCTGAGCATTAAATCTTAATTCCTTATCAAATTTGAAATAAAAATAAAATATAAAAAACAAATACTAATAAAAAAAATAACAAAAAATAAAAAACATAATTAAATTTAGTGAGTGCGCGAACACGTTTTCGAAACCGTTATCTTTGGGGATTTATCATTTTTCTTTCGCGTAGCTAAATGCCCTGAAAATTTACAGATGTGTACTTAACATAATATAAAGTAGAAACAAAAAGTAAAAAGTGAAAAACAAGTGGGCGAACACATTTTGACACCGCCATCTTTGGAGATTTTTAATTCTTATTTGGATGAGTCAAATGACTTCAAAATTTATAGGCATTTATCTCACGTCATAGAAAAATTACAAAAAATCAGTCAGAAAAAAATATATATATTTAAACCCCAAAATAATTTTTGGCGGGGGCCGAACGCCATCGGGTTCGGACCCCGTACGTACGGAGGTTTGCCCGGGGACCTCCGTACGTACAGGCTGGTGAACCTATATATATATATATATGCCTACGGTTTACCGGGCAGTTCTGTTTGTGACGATATATACTACGACTTCGCTAGCTTCCTGCTACGGTTTTTTCCGGTCAGGTC